AAGTCGAAATGATATACATCTAGGAAATGGAAAGCAAGTATAATAGTAATTGGGAGAACACATACCAATGGCTCAAAAAATCTTTAGACGGATCAGAGGCAGCACATAGTAAACTGTGTCAGTGCAATGTTACGCCAAGAATTAATAACATATCAAAACATAAAAAATCCCCAAAACAGGATTAAAACCCCCGTCAAGAAGCCAGTCACAGCTTATTACAACAATGACTACTAGTCCAAGCAATGATAAAGTTAAGGCAGCATAGTTGCAACTTGCTGTAGGCATGACATGCCATTGTGCAATATGCACAACTGATCATCTAAGTGAAGTTATGAATGCGCATGGTCGGGGGGGGGGGGTACATTGGAACACATACAGTTGCATAGAACTTAAACATGCTTTCATAATGAAACATATTTTATCGCCTGCACATAGGGCTGAAAAGGTTATCTTTCACTTGTTGCAGTGAGGTTGACAGTCAACGATTCAGTCAAGAGCTTTTCATTCCAAGTGAGTACAGTGTTACATTTTTTTTGGTGTTGTGTGTGTGTGTGTGCGGTGAGTGTGTGTGTGTGTGTGTGTGTGTGGTGTGTTTGTGAGTAAGTGTGTGTGAGTGTGTGTGCATGGTGTGTGTGGTTTGTGTATGTGCATACAATAGAACAGGTTCAATACGTTTCAGATATGCTTTCTGACATGCAAATAAATGTACGTGTCACATCAGCAATTGTTTAAACTACATAATGTATGACACATCTTTACACAGAAAGTATTGTACCGTTATAAAACGTGGATTAAAGCTTACACGATAGAGAGAGAGAGAGAGAGAGAGAGAGAGAGAGAGAGAGAGAGAGAGAGAGAGAGAGAGAGAGAAAGAGAGAGAGAGAGAGAGAGAGAGAGAAGTACGAACAATGAAACTTACCTTTGCGTGGACGTAACTGAAACAACGATTTCTCACCTGCTAGTTTCATTTTCAGTTTCATTTTTGGCAAGTGCAGATTTAACTAAGCAAGTCGTTCTGCCTTTTACTGACTCGACCAGTGACCTAGATCGCTTGTACCTACACACTGTATACGTAATACTACACATAATTTCTACCATTCGGGTCAGGATTTGTGCTATGAAGAGGAGGAACTTCATGTCTGACTCTAACTGATTCGCTATCACCATTGATGTAAGTGCCATGCCTCCTCATAGCACAACATACCAGTATCGTCTGAAAAGACGGATAGGTGCCAACAACAATGAGGGCTGTGGCAAATGTAAGAAAACACTATTTGATAGAGGTTGACGGATAGAACGTGAGCGCTCAAGACTTACATTTGCTTGGCAAGATGACTTTATCAGATAAATACTGACTATATAATCCAGGTGCAGTAAAGCCGCGTCAGTCTGCGGGTATATTTACCTACAACTGTATCAAAATGCTGTCTCTCTGTGTGGGTTCCGGGGAAAATAATGGACCCACTGATTCCTCAACAAGGATGTCGTAGGAGTAGACTCATTTGGTGTTTCCTTTGAAGCAGGTTTGCCTGAGAGACAAGGAATCAGCAATTTGAATACAATTTAGTCACATCTGTAAAACGGATGTGCACGCAAAACCCGAGTTCGGGAACAATACTTAAGTCCAGAGTTGAAGGAAGAGTTAAAACTTATCGCCGGAGTTTGAAGCTGGCTAAGGCCAAGAAAAAAAAGAATTCTATCATTGAAGATATTATTCTAGTGAGAGTTTATATTTGCTTTACCTTTCACAAACCACTGATATGATATCATGAAAACATTTGAATCAAACGAAAAAATAGACCAGCGTCTACAGACAGTAATAGGAAATAACCGCCGACCCTGTTTTGCCATTTTAATCTTTTTTTTTTTTTCTTTCACACAAATCAAAACAGCAACAAGAAAGCACATATCCGCAAGCGGCGTGGTCGAATTTCTGAGAAATATATTACTTTTAGTTTCAGTTTCCATTTGCGACTGTTTCTGTGCACTACGCTGAAAGTTGCGACTTGAATGGTGATCGTACTGTGGTTCTGTTTCAGGAATACCTTTCTGTTTATATCAGTGCTATCAGCTATAGACGGTTTGTTGTTCCCTAGCGAGTATAACGTTGTGATGCTTCTGTGAGTTTACTCTAAAGAGTGTCGCTATAGTCTTGTAATGAGGGCATGCAGAGATACTCATTTTCCAAAAAATTAAAGTGTGTATTTATGAAAGTAAAAGTTAAGATAGTATGTCAGTATGTTATCATAGCGCTCTGGGTGTATGCATGAGTGTGTGTGTGTGTGTGTGTGTGTGTGTGTGTGAAGTGAGTATGTCCATTAGAAAAACCCTGTGTTGACAAGAAAGGTTAAAGGTTGTAGACTGGAATCTATCCATTGTTAGTGTATGTGTGGTAATTAGTGTACGTGTTGGTGTTAGTGTAGGTATGTGTGTTAGTGTATGTGTGGTAATTAGTGTACGTGTTGGTGTTAGTGTAGGTATGTGTGTTAGTGTATGTGTGGTAGTTAGTGTACGTGTGGGTGTTAGTGTAGGTATGTGTGTTAGTGTATGTGTGGTAGTTAGTGTTCGTGTGGGTGTTAGTGTAGGTATGTGTGTTAGTGTATGTGTGATAGTTAGTGTACGTGTTGGTGTTAGTGTAGGTATGTGTGTTAGTGTATGTGTGGTAATTAGTGTACGTGTGGGTGTTAGTGTAGGTATGTGTATTAGTGTATGTGTGGTAATTAGTGTACGTGTGGGTGTTAGTGTAGGTATGTGTGTTAGTGTATGTGTGGTAATTAGTGTACGTGTGGGTGTTAGTGTAGGTATATGTATTAGTGTACGTGTGGGTGTTAGTGTAGGTATGTGTGTTAGTGTATGTGTGGGTGTTAGTGTAGGTATGTGTGTTAGTGTATGTGTGGTAGTTAGTGTATGTGTTGGTGTTAGTGTAGGTATGTGTGTTAGTGTATGTGTGGTAATTAGTGTACGTGTGGGTGTTAGTGTAGGTATGTGTATTAGTGTATGTGTGGTAGTTAGTGTACGTGTTGGTGTTAGTGTAGGTATGTGTGTTAGTGTATGTGTGGTAGTTAGTGTACGTGTTGTTGTTAGTGTAGGTATGTGTGTTAGTGTATGTGTGGTAATTAGTGTACGTGTCGGTGTTAGTGTAGGTATGTGTATCAGTGTATGTGTGTTAGTGTATGTGTGGTAATTAGTGTACGTGTTGGTGTTAGTGTAGGTATGTGTGTTAGTGTATGTGTGGTAGTTAGTGTACGTGTGGGTGTTAGTGTAGGTATGTGTGTTAGTGTATGAGTGGTAGTTAGTGTACGTGTTGGTGTTAGTGTAGGTATGTGTGTTAGTGTATGTGTGGTAGTTAGTGTACGTGTTGGTGTTAGTGTAGGTATGTGTGTTAGTGTATGTGTGGTAGTTAGTGTTCGTGTGGGTGTTAGTGTAGGTATGTGTGTTAGTGTATGTGTGGTAATTAGTGTACGTTTGGGTGTTAGTGTAGGTATGTGTATTAGTGTATGTGTGGTAATTAGTGTACGTGTTGGTGTTAGTGTAGGTATGTGTGTTAGTGTATGTGTGGTAGTTAGTGTACGTGTGGGTGTTAGTGTAGGTATGTGTGTTAGTGTATGTGTGGTAGTTAGTGTACGTGTTGGTGTTAGTGTAGGTATGTGTGTTAGTGTATGTGTGGTAGTGTATGTGTGGTAGTGTTGGTGTACGTGTTGGTGTTAGTGTAGGTATGTGTGTTAGTGTATGTGTGGTAGTTAGTGTACGTGTTGGTGTTAGTGTAGGTATGTGTGTTAGTGTATGTGTGGTAGTTAGTGTACGTGTCGGTGTTAATGTAGGTATGTGTGTTAGTGTATGTGTGGTAGTTAGTGTACGTGTTGGTGTTATTGTAGGTATGTGTGTTAGTGTATGTGTGGTAGTTAGTGTACGTGTTGTTGTTAGTGTAGGTATGTGTGTTAGTGTATGTGTGGTAGTTAGTGTACGTGTCGGTGTTAGTGTAGGTATGTGTGGTAGTTAGTGTACGTGTTGGTGTTAGTGTAGGTATATGTGTTAGTGTATGTGTGGTAGTTAGTGTACGTGTTGGTGTTAGTGTAGGTATGTGTGGTAGTTAGTGTACGTGTTGGTGTTAGTGTAGGTATGTGTGGTAGTTAGTGTACGTGTTGGTGTTAGTGTAGGTATGTGTGGTAGTTAGTGTACGTGTTGGTGTTAGTGTAGGTATGTGTGGTAGTTAGTGTACGTGTCGGTGTTAGTGTAGGTATGTGTGTTAGTGTATGTGTTGTAGTTAGTGTATGTATGTGTGTTAGTGTATGCATTTGTGTTAGTGTATGTGTGTGTGTTAGTGTATGTATGTGTGTTAGTGTATGTGTGGTAGAGCTGTTGCATGTGTCTCGACTCTGAGCTGGATGTACTCCGACTTGGATTGAAACACACCCAATTAATCCCATAAGATGACATTTTACAGCTCTAGAGAGGGCTGTCTAGAGGCTATAACCTGGTAGTGACAGTGCCTCAAACCACCCCCCCCCCACTGTGTGTCTGTCTGTCTGTCTGTCTGTCTGTCTGTCTGTCTGTCTGTCTGTCTGTCTGTCTGTCTGTCTGTCTGTCTGTCTGTCTGTCTGTCTGTCTGTCTGTCTGTCTGTCTGTCTGTCTGTCTGTCTGTCTGTCTGTATATATGTATGTATGTATATATGTATGTATGTATGTATGTATGTATGTATGTATGTATGTATGTATGTATGTATGTATGTATGTATGTATGTATGTATGTATGTATGTATGTATGTATGTATGTATGTATGTATGTATGTATGTATGTATGTATGTATGTATGTATGTATGTATGTATGTATGTATGTATGTATGTATGTATGTATGTATGTATGTATGTATGTATGTATGTATGTATGTATGTATGTATGTATGTATGTATGTATGTATGTATGTATGTATGTATTATGCATGTATGTATACCACTGACATATTTGAGACTGATCTATATTTCATCATTGTTTCGAAAGACACAACCTAACAAGAGTTGCAGTGAAGCTTCTCCAAAGTTAACGTCCAAGTCTGTATACGATGGATCGCAGTCCACAAGCAGAAGAAGATCTGGTGTCCTGCAGAATCTGCTTGGAAAAATTCAAAGAGCCAAAAGCACTTCCCTGTGTGCATCGGTGGGTAGAGTCTCAGCTCTGTTTTTCGATTCTTTAACTGGTTTGCAAGAATTATATCCATTATCATCATCATCATCATCCTTATCATCATCATTTAAAAACAATCACGTCAGAAAAAGTCACGTTTTTCTAATCACAAGTTACACGCCTATACAAACAAATTAGTACATGTGCACGCGCTTTTAATCCTGCAACCTCCAATCTATCCGTCCTTTAATGTAAAAACAAAACAGAGATAAACGACGATGTTCAACTTACAGAGTCGGTTATAACAGTAGTCTGGTTTCTTTGTGCCAAATATGTTGGCTAAGGAATGTTAATTGCACCAAAATTAGTTACTTGCAGTGGTACTCTATCTTGTACCTAGTGAGGACTGTTGGGGGGAGGGGCGGCTGCACGCACACGCGTTTGCCCATACACACATGGACATATACACATTTGCGCACACGCTCATGCAAGAATCCATGTACACGTGTTTAATTACACATGTACATATGCATGTACATGTACACTCAAAGAATTTTAGACCTATTGGCTGTAAATGCAGACTGGGTTTTACTGAAAAAGTTATTTTTCTCCATATGGAAAGTAATTCTTTTGTTAATGACATTTTCTAAGATCTTTCCTAAATATGATCTTAACGAGATGTGTCTGTATGAGTCTACTTTGTGAGGTTCCTTTAATTTTCATTTTTTTAATTTTAATGGCAATAATTGTGGCTTGTTTTTATTCCCTGAAATTTCCCCTTTTCTCCGTGTCTCTTTGAATAAATGCGTAATTTGCTTCAAGTTTTTCCTGGTAACATTTTCATGCTTGTGTAATTAATAATTTCCGTTCCTGATGTGGTGTTGTAATTTGCCGTTTAGTCTGGCAAGTTCTTCTCTCCTGACTCTCTATTCGTTGCCTAATTTCTTATTAGAGCAAACTTCATAAAAGTACCTTCCAAAAATATCGGCTTTATCTTGCTCAGTTATTGCTAATTCGGGTATTTTAATTGTGAGAATTCTATATCTCTTCTTATCTTCTTCAATAGCCTTTATCTGATGCAACATCTTGTTCGCTGGAGTATTTGGTAGTCACGTCTCTTTCAAAAACATACTTTTTTTTCCCCCGTTGTAATATAGTAGAGGCTATGTTGTTTTTATCGTTGATAATGAGTTTGGTAGAATAATGTTGTTGTGTAATTCGTGTCTTTTTGTTCACTTCGTTGACATTTCTAGTCATGGTTTGTTAATTATCTCTTGTTATCATCTCAACTGTTTGACCCAGTCTTTGGCACAATGCTTGCTGTGTGTTACAGAGCAGTTACGGAACTGTTGGTTTCAATTCTTGTCATAGACTAGAGGAGCAGTGGGAAACTTGACACATACTGGGAGTCGGAGTGGATAGCAGGGGGCATAGAAACACGTGTCATTTATGAGGTTTGAGAAGACAGTTGGAACCTTCGCCATGGACAAGAAGATAGTAGGAACACTTCACAAAGACAAGGGAGACGATTGGAACACATACCATGGTCGAAGAGTACAATAGGAGCGTGTTCTGTAGGTAAGGAGAACATTAGCAGAACAGGCCATAGACAAGGTTTTCGAAGACAGAAACCCTTGCGATAGACAGGGGTCGCAACAGCACTTGCCATAGACACGGGTCGGTATAAACACTTGCCATAGACACGGGTCGGTAGAAACACTTGCCATAGACAAGAGGTCGGTAGGAACACATGTTATAGACAGGGAGTCGGTATGGACACTTGCTATAGACAGGGGTTGGTAGGAACACATATCATAGACAAAGAGAACAGTAGTAACACATGCCAGAGATGATGGAACGGAGGACAGTAAGAACACTTGCTATAAACAAGATGGGCAATGACATTAGGATCACTAACCATGGACATAACTGACAGTTTGAAGATTACAATATAAATCAGATGTCGCCAGTTTTAATTCATGAAATATTTCCGGAGCGAAGGACATGTGTAAGACTAAATCTGACTTGCTACTGAAATGATCAGCATCTAAACTGAACTATATTTGTCTGCAGTGATGCTGCATCAGTAAATGTATTCACTGTTTCGAGATACCCTTACCTAAAATCATCAGTCGACAACAATTTACAACGCTACATGCTGCTGGGTGTTACTTGTAAGTAACTCAAGTTATTTAACCGTTGAAGTCTTACCCTATATGGTGAAAAAATATTTTAAAATGTATTGTTTTATTTTTGTAGATTATGTAAGAGCTGTTTCGAATACATCGCCTTTTTTTAAATTGCAGATTGTGTGACAGCTGTTTAAGAAACCACATCAGTGTCTCACCAGCGAGAGATACAGACAATCTTCTTGGGTTCTCGTGTCCTGATTGTAGAGAATTCATCCCCGTTCTTGACATAGGAAGCACACCATTCAGCGGGGCTGGTCGGTTCAATGCAGGCGATCTCATAAAAAGGCTGGTTGAGCTCTACACATCCACACAAGAACTTCATAATAACAACGCTGCACAAATTAGACATCCATGCCTGGAACATACTGACACGGAAGTTGATCTATACTGTGTTGGCTGTTCTGAAACGATCTGCCATCTGTGTGCATCTACAAGTCATCACAATTGTGATCGGCTGGCAACTGTAAATAAAGCAGCACAAGATCATCGATCATTATTGCAAGAAAAGATTAATGAAATTAAACAAATAATCGAGCAGTCGTTAGAACGAGAAAAAGTACGACAAACTTGTATGAATGAAGTTCATGAGAAGGTTAAGCTTGCGGAAAAAGACATTTTAGAATCAGAAAGGAAATGGCACGAATGTGTGAATGCCCAAAAAGATCTGCTCATAAAAGAGCTAAATACACACTATGGACTTCTACAACAAAACGTTTCTGCAAAAGCTTTCAAATTTACTGGTCTTGTTAAGAAATTGCAAGATCTTGTAACCATGGCAAGTTTGAAAATGATGTCTTCTTCAGATTTAGAAATATGTTTAGATACATCTTATATTGATGCCCTTAATTCATGCAATGAAAAGTGTCTTGCCTTAAGCGAACTTTATGACAGTCTTTGCAAAAACATTTCTGATGTCACATGTAGATTCGAGGCCAGCAGCTCTGCCAGTGTTACTCTTGGCAAAATACTGTTTCTGTCTAATATAAATGATATGAAAGGTTCCGATGACCGAATACCCTCTGCTTCACAAATGTCAAGGTTTAATGGGAGACCCACATCACCACCATCGGGTTCACACACATTAATGTCTTCACCAAGACCCACATCACCACCATCGGGTTCACACACATTAATGTCTTCACCAAGACCCATGTCACCACAATCTGGTTCACACACATTAATTTCTATACCAAGACCCATGTCACCACCATCTGGTTCACACACATTAATGTCTTCACCGACACCCACATCACCACCATCTGGTTCACACACACTAACGTCTCCACCGACAACCATGTCACCACCACCTGGTTCACAAACAAAAATGTCTTCACCAAGACCTATCTCACCACCATCTGGTTCACACACATTGATGTCTTCACCGACACCTATGTCACCACCATCTGGTTCACACACATTGATGTCTTCACCGACACCCATGTCACCACCATGTGGTTCACACACATTGATGTCTGCACCAAGACCCATGTCACCACCATCTGGTTCACACACATTGATGTCTTTACCGACACCCATGTCACCACCATGTGGTTCACACACATTGATGTCTTCACCGAGACCCATGTCACCACCATCTGGTTCACACACATTAATGTCTTCACCGAGACCCATGTCACCACCATCTGGTTCACACACATTGATGTCTTCACCGAGACCCATGTCACCACTATCTGGTTCTCAAACATTAATGTCTTCACCGAGACCCATGTCACCACCATCTGTTTCACAAACATTAATGTCTTCACCAAGACCTATGACACCACCATCTGGTTCACTCACAATAATGTCTTCACCGGAACCCATGTCACCATCCTCTGGTTCACACACATTATTGTCTTCACCAGAACCCATGTCACTACCATCTGGTTTACACACATTAATGTCTTCACCGGGACCCATGTCAAGAGCACACACTAACTGCGAGAAACGTGCCAGAACTTTACAACCGTGTCCTCCTGGATTGTCGGAAGAAGCTTTTGACAGTGACACTTATAATCCCGTGAATAAGAAGAAAAAGTAAATGTCATAAACATTGGATTCTTCCTGAAAATGTTCCTAAAAGATTATGTTTATGTTATATGAAGCCATGCCACTAAGAATGTGAGGGAAGCAATGGTATATCAATGTGTTGTATTAATTGATGTTGCAAACAGGAGTTGAGGTCATGTGTATTTTACTCCAAGATTTGTTGCTTTTTTTTTCGGTTCGCTATGCATATAGCGCATTTATGTCAGTTATATAATGTTTGTTGATGATGATAAAAGAAACGTTAACAAGTCACACGTATGAAGTGACAACAGTGATAAATTGAAGAGAAAAGAGAACTACAGGTGACAAACAGAGGTGGAGTATGGCGGATGCTGGCCTGGTGTCCTGAGGCAAATATGAGGTAAACTTTTAAGTCACTAAAAAGGCTGATTAGGCCTGGTGACACATTTGCACATGGTCGCAGTTATCATTTAAATAAGGAGGTAAGCTACCGTGCACCTTCGACAGTGAGCAATCTGATTTTTTGTTCTGTTTAATGTTTTATGTACAAAAAAATTTTAATAGTCACGCATTTGTTGTGTATTTTTTTTATATTGTCTTTTTTTGAGTTAACAAGAATAATACTGAAATGAAGAGGTGTGTCTACCTTGTAGAATGGGAAACGTAGGGTTTCTTTTAGATGTTGACTAAGCATTTACCCAGATGTACAAATAATACATGGTAAAGGGCAAGCCCAGGTAACGGTAAGACATCTATAGATATGTACATGTGAATTATTTTTCGTATATTATGTTGGAGATATCTCACAAGTTTTGTAAGAGTTAATCCCTT